GTGTATGATAGTATGTTTAGAGATTACAGGCCGATGTTGAGATGTGTGTGTTTCTGTGGATTTGTGCATGTGAGTTATAGGTGCTTGGGGAAGACAGTAAATGGAGTGGGATGCTGTGAAGATGGAGTTACAGGCAGTTGTGAGCTGCCTGATGATGGATACTGGGAACCAAATTTGGATCATCTGCCAGAATAGTATGTGTCTTAACTGCTAAGCTATCTCTCTAGCTCCAGTGGGAGAAATTACTTTGCCTTTCCATACGTTAATATTTTCCATCTTTACAATGAAGGTGATAGTAATATTTACTTTATATACTTTATAAGGTGCTTTTGTGGTTGAGTAGTGTCCATAAAGACTTTTAAAGATTCAGTAAGTTCTTGGGAGCTGGAGAGATGGCTAGGCAGTTAATGGCTGCTCTTTCAGAAGATCTGGGTTCCTATCCCAGCACCCACCTCCAGCAGCTCACAACTACCTATAACTTCAGAACCGGTGATTTGCCTTCTTCTGGTCTCTATGGATACCCAAATGCATGTAGTGCACAAGCTTACAGTCAAGTATAATCAATGAGATTTTTGCTATTATTATTATTATTATTATTATTATTATTATTATTAATGTTGTTATGAGTTGATTTTTATTGTAGCTGTTTTACATTATTCCCATTCATTCCTTTCCAGAGGAGAAAGACTATATTGTATATGAATTTTGGAAAAGCATTAGGTTTGTGTAGTGTGGCATCCTTTCTTGCCCTTCCAAAGATCAAGCAGCTGCTTCAGTAGTAAAGGCTATGAATTAATAAGCCTAGTTAAGAGGAGGGCAAGTAGGGACCATGCGTGTCAACTCTGTGTTGATGCCTGGCTTCTGTTCACCTGTATTCTCAATTTGTTCATTACCCAGGAATGGTAGAGAAGAATTTGTAGGTTATGATATCTTTATCTTCACAGCTCATGGGCTTGGAGTCAGGATTACTGTTGAGTGGCAATGCATAAGTGTATAGCTGCACAGCTGCATAACTACACAGCTGCATAATGTACAGCTGCACAGCTGCATAGAAGACAGCAGAACCCTCCTGCACTCAGGACCTCTGAAACAGAAATGGAGAGGGGGAAAGACCAGAGAGTCATCTGGTCTCACCTGCCACTCAGCCAAGCTGTTTTGTGAAGTTGCTTGTGAACCCTCTATGGCGGAGGGGAGCAAAGAGGAGCTTCGAGTGTAGCCCTTCTCCAGGTTCCCTTTGCAAGGTGCTCATCATGCCTTCTTGAAAGGATGAGGGTGTTAGGCTCCTGATTCACCCTCCCTCCCCACCCAACTCATCCAAACACAAGACAGACACAAATTGCAATAAGCTCTGAGCTTGTTAGAGAGTTTGCTGGAAAAAAGTAGCAAAGGAAAGCCAAATCTTTGTGGAAACCTCAAGTGCTCAACTGAAACAATGACTCTAACTTAGCAATGAGGAACAGGCTCCATGTCTTTTGCTGTAGGGCATAGCCCTGCATTTTCATTCCTTATTTACTTATTTTGTTTTCCATCCCCAGCAAAGTTCCCCTCCTTCCTCTCCTTCCAGTCTCTCCTTCATCTCTCCTTCCCAACCCATCCACTCTTCCTCCTCTGCTTCTCTTCAGAAATGGACATCTGCCAGTCATGGTATATCAAGTTACAGTGATACTAGTCACCTCCTTTCCTATTAAGGCTGAATGAGATAATCCTGTAGGAGGAAAGGATCCCAAAAACAGGCAACAGAGTCAGAGGCAGCCCCTGCTCTCACTGTTAAAAGTTCAACAAAAAGACCAACATGCATAGGGCTAGGTCAGTCCCATGCAGGCTCCCTAGTAGTTGGTTCAGTCTCTGTGAACCCCCATGAGCCCATGGGGGTTAGTGGGTCCTATGATCCTTTCTCCCTCTCTTCTGCAGGATTCCCTGAGCTCTGCCTAATGTTTGGCTGTGGGTTTGCATCTGTTTCCATCAGTTGCTGGGTGAAGCCTCTCTGATGACAGTTGGGCTAAGCACCAATCTATGAGTATAGTAGATTATCATTAGGAATAATTTCGTTGACATTTTTGCCAGTAATGTTTGGTTCCATCCTAGGTCTCTGTGGTATCCCTAGGTTTTGGTCCTCAGGGGTGAGCTCCCTCTCGTGTTATGGGTTTCCAGCTGGGCCAGTCATTGGTTGGCCACTCTCACAATTTCTTCACCATCTTTACTCCAGCTAATCTTGTAGGCAGGAAAAATTGTAGGTCAAAGGGTTTGTGGTTGTGGTTTTCTTGGGGTCCCAATCCCACCATTGGAAGACTTGCCTGGGGACAGGAAATGGCTGGTATAGGCTCTGTATTTTTCATTGCTAGGAGTCTTAGCCAGCATCACCCTTGCAGACTCCTGGGAATTTCCATTGCACTAGGTTTTTAGCTCATCTCACAGATGCCTCCAGATTCCAGTTGTCTTGCCCAGTACTTTCTCTCCTCAACCTCCCCCAACCTGTTTTCTCCTGTTCCCAGCCCCTCATCCTGCCCCCTCCTCTTTCCTTCATTCCTTTTCCATGTCTAGTTATTCTTCTTTGACTCTACCCTTCTGCAAGCTAATTTCCTTCCTATTTTTTGGTTTTCAAAAGTTATTTCTTTTAGTTTTTGAGATTATAATATAATTACATCATTTCCACCTTCTCTTTCCTCCTTTCAAGTCTTCCCATATACCTCTCCTTGTTCTCTTTCCAAATCCATGGTTTCTTTATTCATTAATTGTTGTTACTATAAATATATATATATATATATATATATATATATATATAT